CATTGGCAGCTGGACCCACACAGTCCTGCCTCTGCCAGAGGAGCTCCTCCTGCCCGGGCAGGCACTGGCGCTGCCCTGGGGTCCCTGCGGGCATTTTGGGGCCCTTTAATCCCCCACACGGACCTGCTGGCCTCTGACCTTCACGACTGGTGCCAGCATGCATCTCCCAAAGTCCTCACTGCCACTTCCACGGACAGAGCCCAACCTTTGCCCGGGGCATTGGTGCAAACCACTGTCAGCACGTTTCTGGACTCGTGCCCTTTCCCTCCCCTTCTTTCCCTGGTTTGAACTCGAGCCAACACCAGCCATGAGTTTAACATCTGTACAAGAAGGCACCGACCACTCTGGTCGGGGGCGGTGGGAAGAGGCGGCTGTTCCCTGGCTGCTGGCAGGGCTGCAGGTACCACACTGCGCCCCTAGGAATTCACCCCTTCCCCCTCTCTGCTGCCCCAAAATGTCTGCAGGGAGGCACAAGGGGAGATGTGTCCCCTGCCGCCAGCACTGGGGGCTTCACTCCAACACGTGTGACATTGCAGGGATGGAGGGACCCTTTAAGGAGCTGACAGGTGGGAAATGATGCTCAGTCCTGGGCAGGATGAAGCCCAGCTGATACTGGGCTGGAGAGGCGGTTCTAAAAGGGGCAAGGAGGCAGTATTTGGGACTGGAAAAGGGGTTAGAGCAGAGCTCTGGTGGGATGGGGGCTGCATCTGCTCATGAAGCTGCTGGCTGAGCACTGAGACTTCAGCACACATGTGGATTTTGGGCTCTGCAGGTTGTAACCACTCTCTGTTTTGCTGTTTCAGGGGGTAACATCTGCACCACCCGCGGGGTGAACTCCTGCAAGCAGTGTCTGGCTGTGAGCCCCCTCTGTGCCTGGTGCTCTGCAGAGGTAAGAGCTGGGGAGAGGCTGAGCAGGGCTGAATTATGTCCCGGAGCAGAACAGGGGACATGTAGGAAGGGACAAGCCTCTGGGCAGTGGGATGGGGGCTGGTCCCTGCGTTACAGCCACAAGCTTGGTCTCCATCTGTTCCCACCATGTTTAAACACATTCCTTGGCAGCATCTGGCTCTGACCACAGCTTGAGATGCATATCATGGGGCTCCAGCTGCCTGTTCCTGCCTTGCTCTGAAAATCTGTCCCTTATCTTGGGTGCATCTGTGGGAGCTACATCAAGCTGGCTGGGAAATGCTGATGTTTATGCTGGGAATTCACTTTGTCGCTCAAAAAATGTACATTTGAAAACCTAGTTTACTTTTGGTTTGATTCTTGAAAACCCATTATAAAGCTCTGGCTAAAGGAGTTTAATTGCTGGAAGGGCTGGAAAGGGAAGGGGGCCTGGTGGGAGGAATAAAAAAATACTGATTATAAGTTAGGGTTTGGGTTTAAAAGCCTTTTTTTCATTGGAAAGAGGGGGAGGGAAGACAAGGTGCCTGGTTTTTGTTACTGAGCTAAAGAGGATGTGAGAGCTGAGCTGTGGCTTTAAAATCACCTTGTTTGGGTGGGTGAGAACCTGGAAGATCTGCCACTATCCCCTCCAAAAATGCTGCCCTGGGGTTTAGTCCATGGGGTGGTAAGAGGAGGGAGTTGCCCAACAGATGGGAGAGCAGCCCCAGGGCAGAGACAAGGGGAGGTGAGGCTGGGATGGGGAGAGGTGATGAAACCTCCTTCAGGGCTTCACTAGCTGTGAGCAGTTCCCCCTCTGGCAAGGCTTTTCTTGCTTTCTGCTTCTCCATCCGTGAAACTCTGCTTCCTCTGGCTGCGGTTGTGCCTGTGGTGCCCACCGGGACTGGGAAAAGACCTGGGAAAAAGTGATCCAAGCTGGAAAACGCTATTGGATCCTGCCTGCATGGCCTGATGCTTTGGGGTCAGTGCGTATATGGAGGGAATGCCTCTGCTTGCTGTGCCCATCAGATACTGCCAGGACCTCGGTGTGCAGTGTGAATAAAGATGCTTGTGCCCTGTCTTATCTCTCACAAGGAGTGGCTGAACTTTGCAGCGTGATAAGGGACTTCGCTCCCCGCTGGCTGGGCTGGGCTGGGCTTGCTCCTTCCCAGCCACCTTCCTGGGCCAAGCTGCTGTCCTGACATTGCAGCAGGGGCTGTGGTGGGGTTGTTTTTTTTTTTTTCTCCACATCAGCAAAGGTTTCCAAAAAAGGAAATATTTCTAGTGCTGCTCAGGGCCGTGCTCACAGACAGACAGACATGACAAGCAGTGAGGGAGCCGTCCTGCTGCCAGCAACCAGCTCCCGGATAGCCAGGCTGTGCAAACTCTGCTCAGCAACTCTGCCTCCAACATTTGGACCACATTGTCTTAATTTAGCAAATGAGGGATTTTTCTGTGGGTTTGTTTAATTTCCCTGGGGTGGGGGAGGTCTCTGATACTGCCCCCCCTTTTTTTCTTAAAGGGACAGTGCCCTTATTTGTGCTCTTTCTGCTCCCACTGCAGCCCTTTCACATCTATGCTGCCCTCCCAAGGAGCCAGGGGTTATCAGTTACTCCTGCTCGGTCCTGGCTTTGGGCAGGAAAGGATTTCATTGTGATGTCTTGTGATCACTGACCCCACTAAGCACTGATGCAGAGGAAAATTGAGTTTTATTAATTTTTCAGAGACCTTGACTATTCTCACCAACAAATACATGTGCCCATCCACTGACTTTTCCTTTTGGAAAAAGTCAGCCAAGCCTTAACACTGAGGCGTGGCTCTAAAATCACTTTGGAGATTATTGTGGCAGATCGTCCAGGGTCTCACCCACCCGATATGTCACTCACTCTGGTTCTCTTGGAGGAAAGGTGGAGGCAAGACTAGACCAGGGTTTGATTTAGAGAAGTTGCTGGAAAGTTTTAGCTTAATCTGTGGAAGCATCTGTGCTTTGGGTCCTCCCAGGAGCTCGTCTGCAGGGAAGCTGATGCTGCATGTGGTTGCCTTCAAGATGAAAACGAAGATGCCCTGGGGATGTGTGAGTTCCCACAGCCTCTCTGCCCAGCACTGAGGGAGCTCAGGGACGGAGCTGGCTCTGCCAGCACCCTGCCTGACCCTGCCCTCACTTACAGGGTTTGGTGGCACCAATCAGGGGATAAAATGATCAAGTTTCCCATCCTGGAGGGAGCTTGAGCAGATGCTGAGCTGAAACCTCCTTCCTTGCAGCAGGACAGAGGTGGTCAAAGGGGAGGTGGAGCTGGGGAGCATCTCAGCCAAGGGGTGCGGGACAGCTTGTGACAGAGGAGGTGGGAACACATATCCCCCAGCCCCTGCAGCATCTCCATGATGGGGAGCCGATGCCATCAGGGCCATGCTGATGGGAAAGTGGGGTTTGCAGGGTGTGTCCCAGTGGATGAAGTCCCTGTGCTGTGAGTTTGTCACTAGCAAGCCTGGGCTGCCTCTGGGTCGCTCCTACCTGGGGCTGTGTCCAAGTCACTGAGTCCACAAGTCTACAGAGACTGGGGCGGGGGTGAGGTGGGGAATAGACTAGGGGCTGCAAGGGCCTCATAGCCAAATGACCCATTGATGGTACCATAACTTTTCCTTTGCCTTCTGCAGTAATTTTGTTGCTGGGGAGGCTCCTGTGAGTCCTGAGTCAATCATGATGTTTAGGGCTCCAGGGAAATGAAGGATGCAGCCCTGGGGTTAAATAGCTTCTCCATGGAAATCTTGCAGTAGGAATGATGCTGTTAATCCCATAAGGTACTACATGTCCTTTGAGGGCCTGGGAGTCCCTCTGGATCTCCACGTATCACCCAGTGCTGCAGTTAAAAACCTGTCTGCTGAGCCTGCTTTTCACCCGCATATCTTTCCAGTGATTTCCCCGCCTGGGACAGGAATGTACATGATGATTGATGGGATCTGGAATAAACCAGGCACCTCTTCCCACAGCAGGAAGCCTCGTGGGGCACGCCTGCAGGGCAGGTGGGTGGGTGCAAGGGAGCTAATTTAGAGGGATGACTTGTCGTCTTCACTGACAGCATGCTGTCCAGGCAGTAAGGGTGGGAGCAGGAGGCCACAGGGGAAGAACACGCCTGCTGAGGTATTTTTCTGGCTGTTGCTTGGTCACTGTTTCCAGAGGGCTGTAGGCCAGCCAGGGCCTCTTGACACTGTTCGCACTTTTCCACTTGTTTGCTTAAAACACACAAATTCATTCCTGGGTTCAGGCAGCCTGAACCTGGGGGAGCTGATATCCTGGATGGGGAACCTCTCCAGTGCTGGGAGGCTGCAGTGTTGGGGTCCAGCTTCCCAGGACCAGGGAGGGAGCTGAACTAGCTGCACCGGGACTTGTGCCACCCCCCTTTGCTGCAGGGAAAGGCTGTGCCAGTCTGCTGGAGGACTTTGAATGTCAAAACATTTAGGCTGTAGGAGGGAGATGAAGAAACCCCTTGGAGGGGAGGGTGGCTGCTGCCTGGCGGGGAATGCACAGCAGCAGATCCTGGCAGTGTTGGGCTGTGAAGGAAATTCTTCCCTGTCTTCATGACAAACCGAAGTGATGGGAGCCCTTCTGAATGTGCCGTGATAAGGACAAGGAGCCGGGAGCTTTCTAGGAAAGGAGGGATGGAGCTGGAGCCCCACTGTGACTCTACACTTTGTGCTTCCCCCTGACGGGCACTTGACAGCCTCTCCTGCAGCCCTGTTGCCTTTTTGCTCTTTCGCTCCTTTTTTGGTTCTCCTTTCCCCCAGCCAGCTCCATCCGGCAGGAAGCTGGAGAGCTGGAGATAAGCCTGTACCGTTCTTGGACAGGAACCAAGCCCTGCTTCATGCAATAGGCTCACCCACAGCAGGGCTGTTCCTTGCTTGCGGTGGGCTTTCTAAGAGCATGTGTTGAGAAAATCAGGGGGAAAAGGTGGCTTGTCTTTTGCCAAAGTTTAGAAAATAATAAAAAAAGTCCCAGACTCTGCCCCTCACCCCCAGCCTGCCATGTTCACATCCCACCTCACCCTCTTCTAGCCATCCCATGTAGATGAGCTTTCCTTTTAGCTTTGCCAAAACGCAAACCAAACCAGAGGCTCCAGCTGCTAGCAGTCAGAAGGGGGTTTGGCAGGGATAAATTATCCACTGCTCCTTGCCAGGGGTTACTGAGCAACCCTGCAGGGCACAGCAGACCCAAACCTGCTCTGAGCCCCAGCAGGACTTGCTGATCCTAGATCCCTTCTGTCTGCCACCTCCCTCAAGTAGCGACAGTGTGGCCCAAAAAGCCTCTTATCCTGGTCTTGCATTAGGTATGATAAAGCAAGGGCTCTCCAGGGAAAAGAAGGCCCTCTCTCTTCTTCCTGGCATAACCCCAGGGGAGCTGGCTCCTGACCACATCCCTCTCCTGCAGGTCTTGGCACAGTCATCCCCTCGCTGTGACCTGCGCGCCAACCTCCTGCAAAACGGCTGCGGGCAGGACTACATCGAATTCCCCACCAGCACCGTGACCATCCTGGAGGACCGACCCCTCAGCAACAAGGGCTCGGGGAGCTCCACCACCACCCAGATGAGCCCCCAGAAAATACAGTTGAACCTGCGGCCGGGTAAGAGCCCCCAAACTGCTGCGGGAAGGAGAGATGCAGTGGGAAAAACCCAAAGGGCTCAAGCAATGAGGGAGCCATCGCTCTGCCTCAGTGGCTAAGGCTGTCTTATGTCCACTGAGGGCAAGACCAGGCTGGGGGCTGCACCAAACCCTCCAGGAACATCCCTGATGGGCAGCCGGGCTGTCTGCAAGCAGATTTCTGCTGTTCAGTCTCTTGGCTCAATCCTGTGGTACCCCAAGGGGCAGGATGGGGTGCAATTTCAATAATGTACGGGCTTATTTTATAAAGCCATTTAGACCTTAGCCACTGCTGCTGCACTCTGAATGCTTTGGTGGAAGTCAGCTTGTGTCTAACAAGCTGTAGAGCAGCTGGCAGGGTTGGAATGCCAACAGGTTCCTGTAATTTCCCAGGCTCATTTCAGCCAGGCAGGCTGGAGCCAATTAACTGTTATGGTCGTTTGCCAGCATCGAGGAGTTTCAAGCGATGCCAGGCAGGAGGCAAAACTAACAGACACCACTCACCTAAGGTCACAAAACCAGTTTGGGGAATGTGGAGCGAGTGGTGCCATCACCACACTCTGCCCCACACATAACCCACCCCTGGCCATCCACAGGAATAATTTTGGTCCCTTGTGCTCATTAAAGCCTCGGGGACAGATATCAGTGGCTGATAGCACATGGCATGCTGTGCACATCCCTGGGCCTGGCCAAGAGGAGTCCTGACCCATCTGAATGACAGCAGTCTGAAATGTCCCCACACAATGGGGACATGTAGCTGCTAAGTGGCCCTTGCTTTATTTAAGTCTAAAGGTATTTGACAGGAGGCTGGTAGGTGTGGTGCTCTGGAGAGGAACAGAGGCAGTGTGCAGTGCCCTAAGTCCCTGTTCTTGGAAGCAGTACAAGAAAATCCCAGCTTGATACCATCTCTGCCCAACCAAGAAGGCTTGGCATGAGTCATCTGCCTTGACTCATGAATCAAGACCAAATGCTGAAGGATATAAGTAAGACAGGTCACAGCCCGTGTCCCACAGGTTCAGAGTCCTTATGGTTTTAGCTCAACAAGGAGAAACAGATGCTCTCTGAGTGCAAAGTTGGGACACCTGACTACATGGTGGTGCTCCAGCAATGCAGCTGGAGGGGGAATGGGGCTCTTTGGGCTCTCATAGATTTTGAAACTTTCTCCATCCTGAAAGTCAGAATGTGACGCAGATTTAGAAGGAAATATGAAAACAATAATAATTTAAGCTTAAGTAGAGCTTTTTTCCTCAACATCTGAGGTGTTCTGAGAAGGCTGCAGCTGTGCCCCAGCTTACATTTCAAAGAATAGCAAGAAAAAACCTTTGTCTCTTTTAAAAGGCAAAAAGAAAAGGTCAACCCAAACTGTTTTCAGCATTTTTTTTAAATGCAAAAGTCATTGAAACTGGCCTGTTCCCCAGAAGGTTCTGTCTAAGAAGGTTTTTGTTTCAATGGAAAATGTTTCACCAAAAATTTCCCAGAAGGGGTTGGGAGGAGCCAAGAGGAGAGGGAAGGAACAGGGATGGGGGAGGCCCTGGGAGATGCTCAGAGTCCTTGGGAGCTCAGAGAAGTCAGGAACAGCCATAGAGCCCCCTGATAATCCCTGTAAGACCTGCTGCCCAATTGCTGGGTGTTTCACTTACTCCATCCAGCATGTATTGGTCATGCTGTTCATGCAGGACAGCTTGGGGGTCAGGTCTGAGCAGGAGGGTCTGCTCACATCCTGGTATAATGAGAGGTTTGGAGAACAGGAGCCATAAGCCACACTTGCCATCTCCAAGGGGTGCACAGCATATTTCCTGTGCAAGCACCCTCCCCTAAGAACTTCGCCTCTTTGTGTCTGTTTAACTGTGATGTTCTCATCTCAGCAGCTTTAAACCATCTTCTTGGGTTACTGCTGACCCCATAGGTTAACTTTCTACTTAGTCCTGTG